TCAACAAATTTATTAATCATTAAAACTATTGATAGCAGCTGTCTATAGAGATTGCTGAACTGTTAACATTACCTCCTATCACCAACACCCTCATCGACATCATCATTATTATTGTCAGCAACAGTAACTGTTGCCGTTGATATTGCCGGCTGTATGTATCAACAGATCTCCTTATCACTATTAATACCTGCGCTGTTTATATAAAACATTTGAAACTTGTCAAAAATTTCATGAAAACGACAAAAACAGTAAAGTTTCTGGTCGTTTCCATACATTTATGATAACTAATCAAAAAACAAAAAAATATACCGAAATATATACAAAAAAAGAAAAAAGAATCTATAGAAATCTATAGAAATAGAAATATTCCAATCAGTAATTCTAGCAGCAGAAAAAAAACTGGGAAAAGATGAAAACAGGAGAAGTATAGAAAATTTCTTCTAAAGGAAAACAACTAAAAAATTAGTTTCTTTTTTTTTTTGTTGATAAAAACTGAATGTTAATAGGTATACTTTAACCAGTTCTTCCCTCATTTTTCTTCTCCTTTTTTCCCCACTCTTGAAACGCTCTATAATGAACCTTATAATCATATAAAAAAAATTTTTTTTTCTGTAGGCATCGTTAAAAGCCACTTTCCCGATAGTCAAACTGATAATGGTTTTCCTCTTCTTTTTTTTTTTTTGCATTTTCAGTCCTAAATAATGATGTGTCAGTAGCAGAACAAAAATTTTTAGTCAAAAATAGGAAACTACAATTCAGAATTTGTTTAATACCAAATGTGACGTTGCCAACTGAATCCAGTGGTTATAAAACTACCTCTCAGTATTAGCAGCAGATTTCAACAACTGTAAATATTTATGAATAAAACTGTCGACAACAAGTACTCTTAGCCACTTAGTTTTCGGGAAAAAAAAAATTAGTGATGATTCTAACAGTTATTCAGCGATTTGGAAACAATGCCGTACCATCATCAAAAACCTAATCAAACACCGATATATATATATATATATATATATATATATATATATATAGTTTATATATATATATATATATATATATATATATATATATATTATATATATATATATATATATATATATATATATATATATAGGCTCTGAAAGAATCCGTAACAATGAACGTATCGATGACCGTTAGCAGACGGTTTAGCGAATGTAAATTGTTGGAATCAAATTGTTCAGTGAACAGCAATTAAGTAGACAAAAATGAACAACGATAAAAATCTTAAAAGAAAAGGATCATCATCAGCAGCAACAACAGTAGTGAATGAAAAAATATCGGAAAACAACCATTCTCTTTTGTTATTACTGTTAATCCACATGGGATCCTTCAGCTGTTGGTCGTTGTTGTTGTCTGGTTGTTAACTGCATTTTCGGTTGATTCAAAGCTGAACAAAACAATTTGTAATCAACGAAATCGGCAGTGAACAGTTGGAACTTTGATACATTTGGCTCAGTAATTTTCGTTGTTTTGCTCACTATCTTTGGCTGTACCGGAGGAGGGAGGAGGCCAAAGAGGAGACAGAATGGGCACAAATAAAAGCACACAATAAAGGAACACTTTGCAAAGAAAACAAATAACTAAATAAGAATAGTAACAACGAAACAAAAAATAATGACGACACTGAAGATCAAAAAAGAGGCGAAAAAGGAAGTAAAGAAAGTAGTAATTGGGTAACACTGGAAGTCAGTTATAAACTTAAAGTAACCAAATGAATAAAATATGCAACAGAGAAACCAAAAAGCATCGAAAAACCGATCCGTTGCATACTGCTTATTGCATTCTTTTTTTTTCTTTTTTTGTTGCATTTCCTTTGATTATTGTTAACATATAAAAAATTTTGGAAACCAATAACTCAGTTAGCAGAAGAAAATAAGATGAAAAAAGAAAAAAAAACAAAAAACAAAGAATACACAGTGGTTGATGAAGTAAGGAATTTTTTTCTTGCAATCAATTGACTTTGTTGTTATTGCTGCTGTTGTTAATGTACTGTAAGTTCAACAATACAACCCAAAAAACTTCATGCCATCGCTGAACACAGTTACATAAATAGCAGTTGAAAATATGAAAAGAAAAAAAAAAAGGAAAGAAGCAAATAGAAAAATTCACTACAACCACAGTTCTCGTTTTATTTCATTTCACTTCCCCAAATTTCTGTTTTTTTCCCCCTCCTCCACTTCCTTTCCATTCTCTTCATTCCTTCTCTAACGTTTGTTCTCTTTTTTCCCCCCTTTCCATCCTTTTCCACGCTTAACTTTTACAAAAACTGTAAACTAAACTTAGGCAGGAAAACCTAGAGAAAAAAAATAATTTTTTCCTCCAAATTCTTCTACTGCTACTACATCGGTGTTATTTAATACACTTCTGCGCAACTCTCTGCTCAGTCGTTTTCCTCAACCCCACCTAAAAGAAAGAATTTTTTTGTTTTAAACACACTGAAAACGGTTAAAGGATACATTTTTTTTTTCAACTTTTCGCTACATATTGTTTCAGCGATTTTAATGATTGCCGTTTTATGTGGAAAAAAAAACCTTGAAGTCTACTGTGCAGCCACTAAAGGTTTAGTTTTTCCTTCTTTGCAAAAAAAAAAA